GACTCCGCTCCAGACCTCACTCAAGGAGAGACTACAGCTGCATATGACCCTTGACATTCTTTGGCATTGAAAGGAGTGCTGGCCCAAAGTGCAGCTTAGAATCAGGCTCTTCTCATCTTTCAAAACCTCTACCTGAGGGGTGGGAAGGCAGCAGGGATGGTATCATTGACCTTGGACACAAACTGCAGGATTCATCTTGGTGGCTTCAGCATGGGCTATTGGACCCAATGGGAACTCATTGCATGGAGAATCACTTTTGGGCACCTCCTAGTTCTGCAGCTTTCTTTTCTTGCAACAAATCTTGGGCCACAAGCTTCTAATAATCTCCAAAGATGAAGTGTCTATTCCCACTATAAATGCCTTAAATGTTCAGGAATTCCCACTCTCTTCTTCAGTGGCATAGTCATTATTCAAGATGATCACACCAAGGGTAGTCATCGGAAGCTCATCTTGTGAAGTCCCCTGCCATCGTTCAAACACACATTGATGGTGGTGTGCAATTTGGAGACAAGGTTATAGGAGTGACTATTGGGCTTGATTTTGTTCAATTCTAGTCCAAAGACCAGCTCCATGAGTGTAGAGGCTCTCCTGAAGGGCTCAGGGAAGTGTCACTTGTACCTTTGTTTCACAGACTTCTGCATGTATGTCTTCATAATGGTTGCTTCATTCAGTATTTCTACACCAGGAATTGCATTGACATCCCCACCCTCCTGAATGGAAGGTCTTTCAGTTCTCTCCATAGAGCAACTTGTACTTTCAGAGCAACTTGCCCTTTCTCATAATGGCTTTTGAAACCTTTTTCAGAATTTGTGCATGAAATGCCTGTAGAAGTAATGATGGAGGATGGAAATCTATGAGGCTCTGAGGATGCGAGCAACAAGGAAATCCAAAGGAGCACTTCCAAAGCAGGAGATGAGGAGAAGTGGGCTCTTCCTTGCTTCAGTAGCATGAGAACACTTGAGATGGTATGTCTTACTCTGGGCCTGGAGTGATTTCTCAAGTGGATGATGCACCTGGAAGTGGGAGAGTGTGATGGTGTGAACATCTTGAACATGCAAATTCCACCTTGATTTTAACCAAGACTGCCACAGCAGATTTTCTTGAGAGAACTGCTCTTGGGCCCCACAAATCTCTCCAATCTCATCAGTTTGTGTATGGCACATATGTACAGTCTTCTGTATGTCAGTTATAACTCACTGAAATATGTTTTTTAAAAAATAAAACAAGTCAGTATATTCTTACTGTACTATCGAACACTATTGCTTCTTGGTATTTACTCAAATGAGTTGAAAACATATATCCACAAAAAGCACCTGCACAAGATAAAACTAAATGTAAACTGTCAGTGAAAAATTAAATATAAATGACATTTTAAAACCCTGCACACATATATTTATTGTAACTGCATTTATAACTGCCAAAACTTAAAATCAACCAAGATGTCTTTTATCAGGTTAATAGATTTCTAAACCATGGCACCTCCAGAGAAAAGTTATGAGGTGTCAAGCTATGAAATGACATGGAGGAACCTTAAATATGTATTATTAGGTGGAAGAAGCCAATCTTAAAAGGCAACATTCTGCATCATTCCAACTGTTTGACTTTCTGGAAAAGCCAACACCATAGGAAAAGTAAAAAGGTCAGCTTCTGCCAGGGAATAGGAGGTAAGGAGGGATGAATAGGTGGAGCACAGAGCATTTTTAAGGCAGTGAAGCTACATTGCACAAAACTATAATGTGGTTACAAGTCATGATACCTTGTCAAGTTCCCAGAATGTACTTCATCAAGAATGAAATCTAATGTAAATATGGACTCTGTGTGCTAACAACATGCCAATGTAGGTTAACACGTTGTACTAAATGTACCACTCTGTGGCAGGATGGTGTTCTTGTGGGTGGATGTGAGTGCTTCTGGTAAGAGGGTATATGGGTAGCCTTTGTGCTTCCTATTAAGTCTGCCAAAAAGCTAGAACTGCTGTATGAAACAAAAGCAAGTAAAAACAGGTGGGAAGGGCCTCAGTCTCACCCCCAGTTTGTGGATTTAAGTCTTGAGTGCAGGCTGATGCCCTATGATGGTGATCCTTCTGAGGGTTCCGACTCAGTACCCTAAGTCTGACTCATGTGAAGGCCTAAGATTTCTCTCTCTGCTAAAGTGTGGTCTCTGCCCTCTGATCACACACCAACTCCCCTATTATCCATGAGAAGGATGTGAGACCCTCTCTGCCTGACATTTATTCCTGCATCGCTCATGAAAATGAAATATAAAGAATTTGGTGAGATCTCCACGGATAAGAGTTTGGTGGTCTCTGAACTCTTTATGGTACCCACCTTCCTCCTGGAACACCTTGGAAATCTTACCTCTACTTGTCTGAGCCGACAAACCTCAGAATCAGTTCTTTACTTTCTTCACCTCTGAAGTGGAAATCAGGTTTAGTCATATCCTGTCAAGGCTGTTTCAGGACTCTGAGGGTTGACAGTTGTGTTGGGTGTTTATGAGCCATATTATTCTGTGTGGGTGCTTCTCTCATTCTTCATTCAGGGTCCTCACCTTCATATGTGTCAGAGACTAGGACCCTTCCCTCTACTGACCTCGGGTTATCCTGCTAGGGTGGCCGCACAAGTCCCTGAGAACCCTGAAGAGTAAGTGAGGGGATGCTCAGGCTCACAATTGCCTGGCAGTTTGCTTTCCCTTGTCCTGTAAGTGAATTTTTGTACTGGTTCCTCTTTCTTGATCCAAAACTTTCTGGTAAAGACAGCATCTCTGTAAACTCTTGACCAGTTTCCCTACAGCAAACTCCTCAGAGAATGACTCCCTGGCTCAGGAATGAAGTGAGATAGGGGCATTGTAACCCCAGGCAGACCCCTGGACAGATGTCCTGTCCATGAGAAAATAATACGTCAACATATTCCTTCCTTTTCCAGCTAGACTCAGCTCCTGGTGTACCTTCTGTTTGAGATTAAAATTTCTATCCTGTTGCACCTTCTGTTTGAGATTAAAGATGCTGTCCAGAATGGTTTCGTGAGCCCCTGGTCTTTTGAGGTGCACTGATTTGGATATGTAAATGATTATATTGTCAGCAAATGCTGTCTCTTTCTCTCCTTTTCACACACCTCAATTATTTAAAAATGCTTATTACTCTGGCATGCATTTCAATCTAGTGTTTTGGACACAGACTCATTTTTTTAATCACCTAAGATACATTTGGGAGAAGTGAGAAGAAAGGTGGAATGAAGGGACACAAAGTTGGCCTCAGCTTGAGAGGGAAAATGTAGATTTCAGACTAATTCAGTCCAAGGGTCTAGTTGCTATCCTTTCTGTTAACAGTCACATGCAATCAGACACATTAGCAAACACCATGAACCTCTGTCTCTTCCTCTGTGCAATGGGGTTGAAAAGCTCCAACTTGGGGGCCAGTAGAATGTATATAATGCATGCAAAGTGCTTGGCTTGTATTGACTTAAAGCGATGCCAGTTCTTACTATGATTAATTTGTCCCCCGTAGTGTCACCCCTTACACTGATACTGAGTTTTTAATCTGGGAGATGTCAGAGACTATCAGTGCTCTAGGACAAAGAAAACGCTATCAGGCAAAATGCTGCTTAGTCTGGAGAAGTCAGTTATATTCCTCTACCCACCTCCCCGTCTTTGAGTGTGTTGGTCATTGTCCATTAGAGTGAGGTAGACTTCCTCAGTAGATGTACCAAAAAACTCTCAAAATATGTTTCAAGGATCAAAGTCTTGCCTGCTTCTTTGCTCCAGTCTTTCCAGACCACTCCTAGTTTCATTCATGTAACCACCAGCAACAATTTAACCTTGCCAAGAGTTGGTCACATTACACACAATCTAACCAAATACAAATGTCTTTTTAAAGGAACAGACTCTGACTCCTGCCGCTCAAAGCAAAGAGTATCAGGCCAAAGATTTCTGGGCATTCCCTCCTAAAGGGAACATTACACTTATTGCTTTTCAGATTCCCTGGAGACCTTGTGTTTAAAATATATAACTTGCACACTGTGCTCACCTGCACTGGGACTAGAGCACAGGACATGTCCCATCCCTGACCCAGGTGATTTCTGGCTGGGTTATTTGGAATTTCAAAGTAACTGTTAAGTGCATTTTCCCATTCCAGAATTCGTCTTCAACTCTGTGGCTTGCCATCTATCTGAGGGTCTGGCCTCTGCACTTGATTTTTGCAGCATCATCTAGACCACCATCCAGGTAAATGAACTGCCTTCCCATCAAGGGACTTTTTTTTTACCCCCCAGATCCAACGCTGCCTCACCCGAGGGCACTAACACTTCACTACATTTCTCTGGAACCACCTTTCTCCATTCTTATCCGGTATTTTCACTTGGTTTTTGCGTCTTACGTTGTATACTACCATTCCCCCAATATGATAGCTATTTCTCAGCGCTATAATTTTTATGGCCCATGTCGTCTTCTCACCTCTCTCAGTATTAGCATGGAGCCTTCTAACAGCAGATGTGCAATTACCATTTGGGGATTAAATGAGCCTGCGAGCATGGAGGTTAATTTATTACAGTTTAATTCTACATTCTTGAATTAGTTAGGCACGCACTCCTATTAATAACTTTAGAAAGCACAGAGTAAAAGGGATTTGAAGGCAATACTGACAATATTAATTTTTTACTATTTAGTAATTCCATATCTTTTATTGTTTTATATATTTAATTTCAAGGCAATGCATATGTTAACTTGCACCAGATTACTTAACAAAATGAAAATTTTCTCAATTTGTTGTACAAAACAGCAAAACTCTCACTCTTAAACTGATAAACACATGTGACTAAAATAATTAACTTAGCTTATAATGAAAGATAAACCTTAAATTAGCATTAAATCCATTGAAAAACAGGAGAAAGTAAAAATACAGATAAGTCTCCAAATTGCCCACACAGATTAGGAACACTAAGGTATCATACCTTGTGTTCCCTCAGTCACACCCAGCTCTCCTCTGTTTGGAACACTGGCTGCTCTCTTCAACCACAACATGAAGACTCGGCCTCAGCTTCACCAAGTGTGGGTGCAGCCTGTGGACATGGCCCTGGATGGATCACTGCCATGGCGTTGGTGTGAGTTCTTAGTGGAGTGGTGGCTTGGGCTTTTCCTCATCTCGCAAAGCCTCTTCATACCAGAAGGGGAAGGCGTCGGGGACGGTGTGATTAATCTTGGCCCAAAACTCCAGCACTTTCATCTTGCTGGTCTCGGCGTGGGCTCTTGGACCCCACAGGAACTCATAATGTGGAGGATCACTGTCGGGCACTTGGCGGTACTCCAGGTACTTGAGTTTGACAAAATCTTGTGTGATGAGCTTCTTGGGCTCCCCAAATAGGAAGTGTCTCTTTCCGGCATATATTCTCATCTTGTTCAGGAATTCCCAGATCTTTTGCTCAGTGGCGCAGTTGCCGTTAACGAAGATCATGCCCAGGATATTCATCAGGAGACCAGTCTTAGGAAATCCCTTGCAGCCACTCCTCACCGTTGCATTGTTGGGGAGATCCATTTTGCTGACCAGAGTATAGGAATTCTGTGTAGCATCAACTTCCTTCAAGTCAACACCAAATACCACCTCCATGCTGAAAGATGCTCTTCTGAGGATCTCATGGAAGCAATTTTTGTATTTTTTATTGACAATTTTCAGCATATCTGCTTTCCTAATAGGTTGTTTCATTCTGTACATCTGCATCAGGAACTGTACCACCATACTGGCCATCTCAGTCAGACGATCTCTCTGAGACTGCACCAGGGAAGGCGGGGCCTTGGAGGAACTTGGCTTGTTCTCCATTTTGCAGCTGGCTCCTTCAGATAACCCTGTGCTTGAAACACCTGCAGGTTGAGTGATGGTGGATTGGGCTCTCTGAGGCCACTTGACAGTACTACGTGACCTAGCACCAGGTTTCCTCTGCTCCACAGCTTCTAAAGGAGGAGGAGATAAGGAGACCAGTGCTTCCTCCTTGGCTTCCCCCTGTTCCTGGATTGCACCTTGGGCCAGGTGGTGTTCCTCACGGATGCAGATCTTTCCTTTACGACTCCGAGGCATGATGACTCTCAAGGACAGTAGTCAGGAGTGTGAGTGGGATGGCACGTTATCTGGGCATGAGAGAGGAGAAGATGAGAAGGTATGAGCACCTTCATCACAGATATACTACTTTGACATTCAGAAGGCCACTTCCCTAGCTCTCCTGGAGGGCAGTGCTCTAGGCACCTACGGGGCTCCTGCTCTGACCAACCTGTCCTCTGAGAGCCCTGTTGAAATCATTAAAGTGAGCCTCAGGCTACAGCTGAACAGCCCAGCCCAGTGTTTACTAGGCTTGACTGCAGTGGTAGACAGGTCTAATTTTTGTGGAGCCCCGTCTGCTGTGGAGTGTGGGGGTCTCCCTAGCTCCCATTCAAGACCACCATATCAGGTTTTGACAGGGCATGCCCCCCCCCAGGCTGGTCTAAATTTACACCTTAAATCCAGGCCCTCATCATCTTGGCATCTTAAAAGGAAACAAAGGGGCCCCTCAACCTACCACCCTTGCTAGGTGTCATCCACTGCTGACCGCTCCATGGGACTCATTGTCCTGAGCTCAGTGTGGTCCTCAGTTCTTATTCAGGATTCTCACCTTCACTCTAGGTAAGACCCTAGACACCTGTTTTTGTGGATCTGATGTCCCTATATTCAGAAATGCTCTCACCAACAACATACTATGAAAATAAAATAGGGTTCACATATATCTGATACCCAGGCCTGGGCTCCTCAGTGCAGCAAACAAGGAGAGGGGAACTCTCTGTTCTCTCCTACTCTTTTTTTTTGGCTGGGGGGTGGATGATACCAGCACCCTTAATTCAGGATCCTCCCCCTGGATCTCCTGTCTCTCCAGAATTGAGACTGCTCAATGAGTCCAACACACTTAACTGTCTGGGACTCTCCAGACAGAAATGATGAGTGTGGCTCACACTGACAGGTATTCTGGTGGTCTCTAAGTCCGCACTTAGGTCCTCATTTGATATCTACGCACGCCAGAGTCTCCTTCCTCTACCAACCTCCAAACAGAGCCCTCACCTCTGAGCTCCTGGGTAAATCAGGGCCTTTCAAATGACTACCTCTGTCTGGAGACTCCCAGGACTGAGAGTAGGGGTGTTATTTTGTGTTTTCATCTTTAATGGGAAGAGATTGCCTCATTAGCACCCAGGGCCCTCCCTTTTGCTCTAGTAAGGACTGAGGTTTCCTTGATCTGAAGAATCAGAGCAAGTATCTTAGACCAAGGCCTTCCTCACTCAGTCTGTCCAAAGTGCTCTTAGAGACTTTCCACTGTGGATCTCAGAGGCGAGACTTTTTAGGCCCACTTTAGTTCTGGCAGTGGGTGTGGACTCAGAAGTCCACACTCAGAGCCTCACCTTAGACTTCAGATCAGTTCTGGTACTTCATCCTTGGGGGAAAAATATTGGTGAACCAGGAAAAAATGATGATGATTTATCTTTCTTTTCAAAGGTCAGAGTTAGCCTTTTGGCTTCTGTTTTATCTGATTTAGGTGCTAACAGGAAGGACCTGACCAGGAGGGCTCTGTGATCCCTGTGTTTGAAGTTATCTGACCCTGCTTATGCAGTGAATCATATTGCCACTGAATATATCTTCTTCTCCTGTCTATGCATAACTTTAATTTTCTTGTGGTGTTCTTAGTTGCTTTGGTTATGTATGCTCATTCTATTGTCCTAACACACAGAGTCCTTGTTTTTATTCCCTGAAATACATTTTGGAGTATTAAGGAGCACAAGATCTACTTTAAACAGAGAGGAGTGGAATGAACTGTGTGAGCTGGAGAGGAATTCAGACCAGGAGACTTGTGCCAACCTTGTCACTTATGAGACCAGTTAACTCAAGGATATTCCCAAACTCTAAGACACAGAAATTGCAATCAACCAAAATGCTGCTGAACTAGGACAATTATGTAATATGTTCTCATCAGAGGATATAATATATCATCTATTGGAGAGTCTGTCACCCTTGAATACGACTCAAAGTTCTTGGAAGTTTGTCAACGACTTGTATCTTCCCTCACAGCTGCCCTTCCATCTTAATCGCCATTATTTTCTTATTCATTTAACCACCAGCCCAAATCTAGACCCTGCTTAGCATTCTCCAAATTACATACAAGATACGTTAATTGAGAACCTTTTTAACGGAGCAGTCTCTGACTACCCATCTCAGGGTAAATAGTGCCAGTCCAGCATATGGATACTGGGCATTCCACCTCAAGACAGTTTCACCCTATTGCTCAGAACCTTCCATGTGATGATGTACATACAACATGTACTAGGGCCTTTGTGTTCAATTGCACTGAGAAGAAAACAAAGGACACCTTCATCCCAACCCCAGGTGCAGAATGTCTTTGGTTTACCCACAACGCCAAAGTGAATGTTAAAGACTATTTTTGCATTGCAAGCTAATCTTTCATCTCTGAGAGAGTCCTCCATCTAAGTGAGGGTTCAGTCTCTGATCTCCACTCCCACAGCCTCCCTTAGCCCGCCATGCATCCTCACTTATATTACCCCTCACTGAGGGATTTGCAGTATGTAACACTCCAAATTGCTTGGCCTCAAAGTATTTACATTTGATTGCTTTCACCTCAAACCTACTCCCCTTCTTTATCTTTTCTTTTTATTTGTTTTTTAAGTCATAGAGAATATGTCCACATCTTTTCATAAGAGAGCAAGCCCTAGATTCTAAAGTTTAATGGGCAGGAACTGGGTTTTAATGTTGTTGGTTTTTTTATTACTTTTGAAAGCATCCTCAACACTGGCATGAATTCTTCTGGAGCTCTCATTCACAATTAATGATTAGGAAATAAACCAGAGAGTGAGCATGAGGTCTCATTATTAAGATTTAATTTTTCTTATATTTCCAATTACTCTAAGCAAATCTAGGTATATAATTTTTACTTTTATAAGAAGAAACACTAGAAGGAATTAGGCAAACCAAGAATTGACATTCTTTTCCTTATTTATATTCTTTTTTGGCCTAGTATATCCTAGGCACTGTCTTGAGACTACAACCCCAAATAAGATAAAATATCTTCTCTATTTAAAATCAAAATATCAAGGTATAATTGACATATATAAATCTCTGCACATTTAATATGTACAGTTTGGTGAGTTTGGAGATAAGAATACACCTTTAAACACATATCCCCTGCCTCCAAAAGTTTTCTCCTCTTCTACGTATGTATGTATGTACGTATTATATTGGAAGTACAAGAACAATGAACAGAACATTTACCTTTCTGTCAATAATGTATCTAAAATATTGTAAACTACAGGCTCTATGGCATAGAATACATTTCTAAGACTTATTCACCTTATATGACAGAATCTTTGTGCCCTTTAACTGGCACCTTCCCATTGCCCTGCTTCCCAGCCCCTGGAAAAACCACCATTCTACTCTGTTTCTATTAGTTTGACTATTTTAGATTCCTCATATTAGTATCATGTACTTATTCTACTGTCTGGCTTATTTCATGTAGCATAATGTCCTCTAAGTTCACCTCCATTATTATAAATGGCAAGGTTTCCTTCTTTTTAAGTCTGGATAACATTCCATTGAATGTAATACCATGTTTTCTGTATCTGTTTTCCATAAATGTACATATAGGTTGCCTCCATTTCTTGCCTATTGTGAATAATAGGCAAAAATCTCTCTTCAAAATCCCAATTTCAATTTCTTTGGATAGATACCCAGAAGTGGTACTGATAAATTATATAGTAGTTCTCTTTTAAAATTTTTGGGGAACCTCCATACCTTTTTTCCTAAGTGGCTGCACCATTTACATCCTGGTTACATGATAAGTTATTTTTTTCCAAGTATTTACACTTAATCAGCTTACTCTTTAGTTCGGGAGAGAGCAAGGCAATCAACTTCATTATTTTTGCTGCGGTAAGAACACTTAACATGACAATACTCTCTTAACAAATTTTCAAGTGCACAATGGACTATTGTTAAATATGGGCACAATGTTTACAGCAGACCTCTAGAACTTATTTGTCTTGCATAACTGATATACCCGTTGAACAGCAACTCTTCATTTCTCCCTATACCTAACCCCTGACACCACCATTCTACACTGTGTTTTACTTGTTTGACTATTTTAGATGCCTCATATAAGTGGAATCATGAAGTATTTATTGTTGTTTGACTGACTGACTTCATTTAGATTACTATCTTGTAGGTTCATTCATGTTGTCCAATATGACAGGATTTCTTCCAATTTTAAGGCTAAAAAATTGTATGTATATATCACGTTTTCTTTATATATTTATCTGTTGACAGATATGTGTGTGGTTTACATAATTGGTCATTGTGAATAACATTGCAATGAACATGGGTGTGCAGATATCTTTTTGAGATTCTGATTTCATTTCCTTTCGATACATACTCAAAGTGAGATTGTTGTAACATGTAATAGTTCCAATTTAACAATTTTTAAGGAACTTACAAATTCTATTCTCTAATGGCAGTACCAATTTAAATTCCCACCAACAGTGTGCAAAGTTCCCTTTTTCTCAGTGAATGGAGGATCACTGTTAAGCACCTACTGGTACACCAGGTATTTTTCCTGCACCAAATATTGAGTGATAAGCTTCCTGAGTTCCCCCAAAATGAAGTGAATTTCTCCATCATAGATGCCCATCATATTCAGGAATTCCCAAATCTCCTCCTCAGAGGCACAGTTGCCATTTAATAATAATATACTTAGGATAAGCATCAGAACCCCTTTTATAAGAAATCTCCAAGCTGTGCTGAACTTCTCATCGCTGGTGTTATCTTGATTGTAGATAAAGGTGTAGAAGTTACCTTTGGGCTTGACCTCTTGCAATTCTAGGCCATAGACTAGATCCATGTGCTCATAAGCTTTCCTGAGAATATCAGAAAAGTCCTTCTTGTACCATTTGTGCACTACCTTCAGCATGTCTGCCTTCTTAATGAGCTCCTTCATTTTATCCCAATGGAGCAGATATTTTACCAACTTATTCACTTTCTGAGATAGAATATTTAGGCCA